TCCATATAGCACTGAACCACACACACACACAGACAGAAAGAGAGGGAGAGAGAAACAGAGAGAGAGAGAGAGAGAGAGAGAGAGAGAGAGAGAGAGAGAGAGAGAGAGAGAGAGAGAGAGAGAGAGAGAGAGAGTTATGAATTATCACCACAACTTCCCCTATTACACCCAGATGAGTAGATCCAAAGTCATAGCAATTTTACCTCAAGGTCCTCGATTGTAAAAGGGCCTTTACCCGATTCAGACCCTGACTGACGAGAGCAGCTTAGTGGGGTCACTCGCCCGAAGCCCAACTCGTGAAAGCAGATCAAAGGGCATGTTCTCTGGGTCAAAAGTCACATCCCAGCTAAAGGTAAAAGTCAATGTCAAAGGTCACAGTTGTGCTGCTGGACGAACAGTTGCAATATGCACATGTGGGAGTCACACCTGTTCATCCAGAGGGTGTGCAGGACCTGTCTGTTCATGCAAGAGATGTGTCTGTTCGAACAGTATGTGTGCCTGTTCAAAAGGAGTCATGCAGTATGTGTGTCTGTTCGAGCAGTAGGTGTGCCTTTTCAAAAGAATTCAAAGAGATAAAGTCTCAGTCAAGATTCAAGTCAAAAAGATGGTCTAGATACAGACTGAAAGTCCGAAATTAAGGCCTGAAGGCCGCAGCAGCAGTGACCCCTGAGGATAAGGGTCTGGGACACACTCCACAGAGGCTGGGACTGGGAAAGGACCCAAGACAGACTGAATTCAGACCTCGCAAGGGGAGGCCAGCACTATAAACAACGAGGCAGCCTCCCCACAAGGGAGATTCCCATTTGGCATTGATGCGTGGAAGTGCTGAGGCACTTGTGCGCTATAGTGCAGGGAGGAGCGCTGGCTCAGAAAGAGCTGCGCCAGAAGGAAGGAGGGCTGGGCGCTGGCTGCGGGGAAGCCATAGCTGCGCCAGCTTGAGTTAGTAGTAAGTAGAAGGGTTAGTAGTAGGACTTCAGTGAGTTGCATTCAGAGTAGATTCTCGTAGACAGGGAGTGTGCATGCATGGTGAGACAAGGGAACTAGGACAGGGATCTTGGGAGAGAAGGGAGAGAGAGAGAAGACAGGCTTGACGTTGGATATGGTGGATACTTAACTGTTGGCGCCGTACTCGTGATCTGGGGCAGATGTTGGCTGAGCCAGGCCCTGTGTGTATGATTGAAGGAGGGAGAGACTTGTATTCTGTGGGCGCTGAACTCTTGAGCTCGAGATACTCTTGTATAACGTGTTTTTGATAATATAAGCTGCGCTATCTGGTTCTCATCTCATCTTGACTTGGTTTTGTGTGGAGCTACTCAATCTGTGTGATGACACTTGTGCATGCGAAATGATACACTCCAGCAAGTTGTGAACAGTCAGGTTCCTTGCAATTGCAGTCAATGGCCTCAGCCTAAGGTTGTGCGCCCATTGTTCGTCCTCCGAGCGAATTGAATTTCGTCGAATGAAGCCGGAGGCTCAGTAATCATAGTCTTGTAGGCAATGGATACCCTCGCTTCTTTTTCATTTCTCAGTAATCATAGTCTTGTAGGCAATGGATACCCTCGCTTCTTTTTCATTTTTCTTGGAATTCGTTGGGCCAGCGCCGGGAAGTCCCGCGCTGACGATTGGATGGCTGCGCCATGACGGGCGCAAAAAATAACTGTACCATAGCTTCTTTCTTGTTCTACTGTGACCATTAGGAATTTTGGCACGACTAGCGCGCGGAAATTTTTTATTTTTGAATTTTTAACTGATGTTGAGCCCCCGTGAGCTCTCGGAATTGCTCTTCCCTTCGGAATTTCCTTTCTGCAATTAGGACTTAGGCTAAGAATTTAGGTGCTCTGAATTTTGTTCTGTAGCGTTCGCACACATCTTGAGGCGCAAGGAACTGGGTTCTGACTGGATCTCGCCTTTAATCTTGTGCAACTGTCGTTTTTGGCAGGCGCGATCGTAACTGTAATCCTTCTTCTTTCTTGGTTCTCCTATGCCACCCGCCTTCTTCTTCTTTCTCGTCTCGCATTGCTCTGTTCTAATTGGCCAAAGCGCCTGCATGACCAGATCGATGCGTGGAAAGTGGCTACGACCCCCACGCCGCGGCTTGGCCATGCAGACGTAAGCACTTCCTCTCTTCTCTTCTTGTCCATTTGAGCTTAATCCCGTACCTTTCGCACAGGCATGCATGCTAGAAATTTTGTAAGCGCGATTAAGTTTGCTCTCTAAGAATTTCGAGGTTAGCGCGATCAGTCAGGGTCGGCTAACGAGCAAGTTGGAAGGTGAGTGGGTGAGAGAGTTGGGCGATCCGACGAGCTAGTGTCGGGTATGCGGGGTTGACGTGCAGGGCCGCGACGGACTGTGGCGCACGGGCGAATCTGACTTGCATACTTGAACCAAGCGGGGTGACAACTTTGTGTGGATATGCGGCGACGGACTGCCGGTATCGTGGGTATTGATGAGTGATCCGTAATATCGCGAGTATTGGAAAGGCGAACAACTCATACGGCGGGTAAATTTAAGAAATCTGGAATTCCCTTGCCTAACAAAAAACGATCGCTTATGCGCAAGGGATTTTCATTGTGCCATAACTAGTAACCCCCGGTGTCCCGAATACCCGGAAATGTATAACACACACTATTTCATATCCCCCGGCTTCGTCGTAATTACTACCAGCTTCCCTCCCTTCCATATCCTCCTCCCGTATCACCAACTCACAGTAGTATCGTTGAATTCCATAGCTCGCTACTGGCCAAGCCCGCAGTGCGAGGGTTGTCGATATCACCGGGCGCGCCGAGCTTCGGGAACTACCCGACAGGCCCGAATTGAAGTTGAGCAGTGATTGCACAGCCTCCGCGTACGGCCTACCTCGGAAGAACCCGAGGCCTGTTACGAGCAGCGCCGACAACTGGTCGAATTGCGCGACCAACCCCGAAGACGAAATCAACGGCGATGGTGATTCCTTTTTCCTTTTGGCCTTAAACTTTGAGTCAGTTGGCAGGGGCAATGTTGTTGGGATTTTTGCTCGAGAAGGCAAGAGGTTTAAATCCGTCAGTACGGCGATAGTAGGAAAGTGCCCCGGATTTTAGCCTGGGATGCACCGCGCATGCTATCTGCCTTATGCTGCATGACATCAGCAACCTCTCTCCTAAGTACGCCCTTTTTGCACCTATACCCCTGGAACTTGCCACAGTAGATCTCAGTTCCGACCTGGGACTCCACCCCCACTTTCCTAAAATCCTTGGCCCACCCCTTTTTCGCACTTCCGGGCCCCCCATCCCACTCCGATCAGGAAGTCGCGCTGGGCGTGAGGTTGGTATCAAAGCCGACACGTGGCAGGCTCTAGGCTGAACAGGTAGGTGATTAAGGTAGAGCGATCTGGCTAACAGAGGACGCCCCCGAGCACGAAATGCGCCACAACGCGATCCTATAGTCACAAGAAATAGGTCGGGAGCTCGGCAGGAGACCAACATGAACGCCAATCAACAAAATCCCAATCAGGCTTAGTCCGCGCCTGCGCCACGAGCACGGGCACCTGTGGCCCCATCCCGATCTCTACCTTTTTGACCCAGCACATCATCTTGCCGGAGCATGATTGGCCACGCTCCGAGCACGGCAGTATGACAATGACGAAGCACAGATTAGCATCCCCGCCCGATTGGGAGGAGACGCACATCACTGATTTAGTACCTATGTTTGGATCGATCTCCCGACATTCGAGCGAGACTTTTTAAATCGATTTGATTATATCTATCCCGAACAGGCTCTCTTCATGATTAAAGATCAGGTTCAAAAGCCTCTCGAATCCGTCACGGAATACCGCAATAATGTTCGTGAAAACTGAGCGAGGAGAGTAGGTAGGAAGAGAGTTATTTATCGATGGACTCTGCAGCAGTACGATGAGGTTGAAGCTACGTAAACAGTTATCCCCCATCAATCAGACACTGCAACAGATTATGGCTACCGCGGAAGAAATGGAGCGAAAGTTCGCCGCAAGTTTCCTAGAAGGAGAAGATTACCCCAGGGAAGGGGATTCGTCGGAGTTGGCTAGGGCCAAGGCCGAGCTAGCCATACTGCAAAACAAGTTCGAAAGTATGGGATTCGTGTCTGGTCCCATCACCTCTTTGGAACAGATCACACCTAAACGAACGGCCCCTAGTGTGATGACGGGAATGCCTATCCTCGTGATGACTACGCCCCCACCACCGGTGGAAAACCCTGCACGATCGGATGAATCAGCTGTTATACTAGAACTAACCAAGACGCTGATCAACTTGATTCAAGAAAGCAAGAAGGAGAAGCGTGAACACAATGTCCGAATACAATCGATGATGAGATCGATGCGTCCCATAGTTGTACGAGCTGCCCCAATACAACAGGGATTAGCCCCTGCCCCCGCAGCCAGGGGTGTTGCTGGCAATATGAACGTCTATTACACGTGCCATCAACCGGGGCATATAGCCCAGGATTCTCCCCACCGACCTACGCAACCACGAGTTGGAGCTGCCCCAGTAGCTACGGCACCAATCGCCAATGGACCAGGAAGAGTAGGGGCAATGGTGGAAGAAATGGAAGGACGAGGAAGTGTGTTAGCCACTACGGAAGAAGGTGCAGAGCTTATTCCTCTAGACCAGTACGTAATATTAGGATATCCAGGGTTGGGAATGATCGGGATTATTAGACCCGCCCATGAACAGCGAGAAGTGGCGGAATGGAGACCATCTCCAGGAGAAATGGAATCCGGGAGGACCCACCTTCATCACTGGGGAAATAGATGTTTTGAACGCCATTCGCGCTCTCCCAATCGGACATCTGTTGTCCATTTCAGAATAGGCTAACGAGCGCATGTTGCAACACTGCAAGGCGAACAAAAAACGATTTGCTCTTGCAAGAACGGCGAACACGAAAGGAAAAGCCCCTGCCCCAGAGGACAATCCGAACCCTGGCAGCACGTCAGAACCTATACGATTGGGACTAATACAGAAAGACGATCACTTCCTGCGGATCAAAGCAATCTCGTGGAAATCAGCCGAATGTGACATCGAAGTCTGGGGAATTCTATACAATGCCATCATCGACTCACGAGCCTCTGTCTTCACAATCTTGCTGAGAGTAGTAGAAAGAGCGAGAAGAAGGAAATACCTGATCATGCTTGCGAAGAAAGATCATCTCGTCGCTGCAGACGAAGAAAAGATTAAAACAGTAGGGCGAATGACGAACGTTGCTTTTCGGTTAGGAAAGGTACATGCCCTGGACGATGTCGTAGTGTTAGTCGTAAGTACCTACGACGTTCTTTTAGGATTACCAGCTCTCACGGCGCTGCGAGCCAATCTAGACTTTGAAAGACGATCGATTGTCCTCCCAAACACGGGAGGAAAACTGTACACCATACCCATGAGATTGACTCTTTGAACCATGGTGGACGCAGCTCCGCGATCTCCTTCAATAGGAGCCCTCTGAGTGATCACCTGGGAAGATCCCGCGGAATGTAGCAAGTCCCAGACAGAGAAACTGGATTCCTCGAGCGATACTGATGGCAGTGATGGGGATGATTTAGCAGTCCGAGAACTGACCCAACAACACATCTCCAGGGTGGCAGATTCTTTGGAACCCCCTCAGACTGAACGATTGCGAGATCGTTCAGCATAACGGAATGGAACCTACAAAGGACACGTGCAATGATCTTGGGAGAGCCTCTCATACAGATCTTCAGGGTGGCAGATTCTTTGGAACCGCCTCATACCTTATACGAGGGCACCACTCCACTGCTTGCAAGATACAATAACAAGAGGAATTTTTGTGACATCACAGACGTACCCCGCTCCCTGCTACTCCCAGGGAAAGAGGTAAAATTGCTCCGCTTGGGGGTTGAGGCCGACTCTTTGGAACCCCCTGGGCGTCCCGAAGTTCAAACCAACGGCCTCGGAATCAAGATCACGGAGAAACCTGTACCATGGCAGGATATCCACGACGGCGTCACTCCGGAGGAACATGTGGCAATCCGCGAGGAAGATGCGCAGATGGTGGCCACAGTGTTCTCCTGGCGGTCGGACAATTTGTTTATCTCTGCGCCCCCTTCCGAAAGCGTACACGGATCAATAACAAATCAATCACTGTCCAACTATTGGGACAGTTATACGAACTACACGTACCACAATACGTACCCGGCGAAACTCATCACCTGATCGCAGACATTCTAAAAGAATATCAGGGAGCGATTAGTGTAACCAACACTGATATCGGACTGTCACTAGTGATTGAGCACGAAATCCAGACTGGAAACCACCCTCCGATCCACTGGAAACCATATCGATACTCCCTCGCGGAACGAAAGACAGCTCTACAGAGGATTAGGGAATTCGAAGCTAACGGATGAATTGAACCGGCCAATGGGCCATGGTCATTCGCGGTCGTATTAGTGCCTAAGAAGAATGGGTGAGTCCGCATCTGCATCGATTATCGAAAGTTGAATGATATCACGATCAAAGATGTATATCCCCTCCCCGGATTGACGATTTGGTGGATGCGATTGGATGTGCTAATTACTTTAGCAAATTTGATATTCGTCATGGATTTCACCATATCCTGGTTAAGGAGGAAGACTGGCCTAAGACAACTTTCGTTTTGTTCGAAGGCACGTGGCAGTGGGTTCGGTGTCCGATGGGGATCTGCAACGCGCCAGCTGCATTTCAAAGAGCGATGAACGTGACGTTCCAGAACTTTGTCAACAAGACTCGGTTAACATAGGGGATGTTTAGTTTTTGTGTAATTGTGTATATGAATGGCATCCTGGTCTACACCGAATCGTACCATGGGCATGCACAGCACATCGAATGGACACTGGGAGCACTGAGAGACGTCAGATTCAAGATTGTGTTAGAGAAAAGCGAGTTCTTCCTTTCGGAAATCTCGTTTTTGGGATACGTGGTGACATGGGGAGGCTTGAGGCCCGATTCGAGAAAAGTCGCGGCTGTCAGAGACGCTCCAGTTCCCACGTCGCTGACGCAGGTTCGAGCCTTCCTGGGACTGGCGTCGTATTACTGTTGATTTATCAATGGATTCGCTGCTATCGCACGGCCTCTAACAAACCTGCTACAAAAGGATCAGTCTCTCAGTTGAGACGCGGAGTGCGAACGAGCCTTTATCACTCTCAAGTAAGTCTTGGCCACGACACCTATTTTGATTCGACTAGACCCAGCAAAGCAGTTCATTCTCGTCACGGATTGGCAGTCCGAGGCGATCTCCGCTATTCTAGCGCAGAAGGGCAACGGAGGTCGCGAACACGTCATCAAGTATACATCCCGTACCATATTGGACGAGTGAAGGAATGATTTAGCTCCCCAGGGAGAATGCTACGCGGTGGTTTGCGGAATCCAGCATTTTCATCCGTATCTTTACGGGCAAAAGTTTCTCCTCGTCACCGACCACGAGCTGCTATTGGCTCTCAAAAGGCTTACTAACTATACGGGTATGATTGGACGTTGGGCAGTACAGCTACAAGAATACGATTTCGATATCATCCACCGGAAGACGGCAACAGAAAAAATTCCCAAAATTAAATAATCATTCTATAGTAAAATTATATTCTAAATTTCATATTTTCATTCCATCTTAAAAAATGTCCTTCCAATTTTAAAAAATCATATCTTACCTGAAAACTTTCCTTCCAAGAATGGGGTATCCCTTCTTATTTGAACTGCATGTTAGAGATGGAATGAAAGTCAGGATGAGTTCATGAAATATTTTAATTGGACTGTCATTCTAAGTAAGGATTTTCAGTCATAAATAGGTTAATCCAATTTAAATAAGAAGATATTTGTTGTAGTAAAATGAAAGTTTAATTAAAACATTTCATAAACTCGTCCAAACTTTCATTCCATCTTGAACAAATAGATGTAGTTGGAAGGGAAAGCTCATACTTAGACGGGAACTTATCAAATAAAACTGTAAATTTTAGAGTTGGACGAACGTTGGAATGATAATTTATAAATATGACGGATTTTTTTTTATGGAATGTTTTTTCAACTTTAATTTCTCGTGGGAATTTTTCTGTTGGGAGAGGCATGGGAACGCGTACGGATTGACGCGATTGCATCGACCAACGAAGGTCGCCAAAGACGAAGAAATCATCCCGTGGAAAGAACCAGAGCCGACAAGCGGATTCCAGTACGGACAGGTGGCAGTTCTTCCACGAGATCAGAAGCAAGCATGTGGCAATGGGGTACGGAAGTAACTCTAGAGCCTCTCCCTCTCCTCTTTCTTCCTCCTCTCTTCTCTCTTTACCTGACGAATTTTGTTATTTTTTGCGAAGCAATCTCGCGAGTCTACTCGGTCCCTATGCATCCCAGTGGGGAAGGGTATGTCGAATGGGTAGATTGTTGGCAGTGCGTGTCGGGAGCCCATGGCTCCTGCATTCAGCATCGAAGCGGCAGTAAGCCATAGTTGTGCCCCCTATGCCGAACCGACAAAATCCCGACCGAGGCTCGGTTCCTCGATGCCACGTCAGAGGGTCTAGAAAATACCCAAAGGCTTAGAAGGGTTGACGTATGGATCGACGTCGCTTTGATAGTTACTGTAGTAGGGAACCCCCTCCGAGACTTCACTAGGGAGGATCGGAGGAGGGCTAATGAGAGGGCTCGGGACTATCGATGGAACAAGGAGCGATTGGAGAAACGGAAGACGGACGGTAGTGGGATATGGATGACTGTACCACCCCCGTTCATGAGGTATGACTGGGTTAAGTCAGCACATGAGGAAACTGCAGCCTATTTCGCCGTCTGAATCACCGAGACGATGATCGATAAAAATGAATGGTATTGGTCCAATATTCGCGACGATGTTAAGTTCATCATCCAAAACTGTCACGTTTGCATCGCTGACAAGGCGCCGATTCAGCCGCCAAGATCGATAGTCTTGACTGTAGTCGAACGACCATTTCAAAGAGTTAGCATGGATACTACCGATATCGTGGTGCCTCCGGGACCGAATAGCTGCGAATATTTAATTTTATTGGTATTCGTGGATCACTTTCCGAAATGGATTGAGGCGTATCCATGCCGGACGCGACAGGCGGCAGAAATTGCGTGGTACGTCAACCGTTTTCTCGGGATGCACCAGGACACAAAAGAGATTTTAACCAACAACGGGGCGAAATTTAGAGGAGAAGTTTTAAGGAATCTGGTCATACACGGTGTCGCCATTCGTAATATTGCAGCCCACATGTCACAGTCCAATGGGCTGGCAGAAAACGCGAACCGGGTGATTAAGACGGCTCTGCGACGAAATATCACGGCTCGGGACACGAGGCCTTGGTCTGATATCGTAGATCACATCTTGGCAGTCCATCGAGGAACGCCCCACGAGTCTACAGGCTTGACCCCTTTTCAATTATGTACCAATAGCTTGGCATGTGTCTCAATACCGAGTCTCCACGATGAATTTGCCCTGGGCCGACGGCCTACGAGGGCCACAGCCCGAGACAAGGCCAAACGACACTTAGAATTGATAGAACGGTCCCTTCCCCACCTAGCCCGAAATCGCTAGCGGATGACTGAATTGGCCGACGGACGACACGTCCGTGTCTACAAGGCCCGAAATGGGAACGTGGTTCCACGACCCTAGTATAAATTGGGGGACATGGTGCAGGTGAGGAAATGTGCTCGCCAAGGGAAGTTAGCGCCACGATTCTTCGAGCGATTTCTCGTGGTCGAGCTCGGCCCGAACAGGGTAAACACAGTGCGGCTGGCGCCCGAGGTCTCAGGCAGCCGATCAGCTCGTCCGATCGTTCGCCACATGTCCTATCTGCGTCCCCTCCCTATCTCCCCATCTCCCCCTTTGTCTGCTTCCTCCTTCGACACCTAAGAGGACGACGACTGTCTAGCATCCCCCTCTCCTTGTTTGTCAACAACTCCGTCCCCTCCCCCATCGCCATGAGCTTTTAAGTGGAACAGCCAATTACTGCGTAGTTGATGACCCCAAGGGGGCGAATCACGATAATCCAGCAAGTGCAGCGGCCCTGACTCAGCCCTGACCTTCTCCGTTTTGCGGCCTTCTTCAGTACGACGGCAATCCACGCGGCAGCCGAGTTCCGATTTGTGCAGGCGGGAGCAACACGTGTACTGGCCGAGATCTCGGCCTTTCAGCGCATGTCTCTGCCCGGGGTCAGCCACGTCTCCATCATCATCGTTTTCACCAGGGATGTCACCGCGATACCTTCGGCGATCCACACAGACATCTTCTGGACCTTGAGAGCTTGGGGGCAAGAGATAGCGGCCGTATGGACGGCGCTCCTAGCCCGTCGAGGAGACACGGTCGTGACATCTCACGACATCGATCTGCAGCTCCGCTCTTCCAACAGTTCGTCGTCGATCCTGCTTCCTGAGCTAAGCCCTTTTGCGTCGCCCCAATGAGTCGTCGTCGTCTTTCTGTCTTCGGTCTTCCTTCCGATCTCCCCACCTTCTAGCAGTCCGCTCACGCCCCAACCCTCTCTTTCTGCATCAAGCCGCTCAACGTGCTGATCCTGAACGAAGATAAGTGGAATGATTGGTGGGGCGCTTACCTGGAGTTTAGCTTCTGCCTCGTGGAGGTGATCTTTCATTGGTCCGGGCCAACGCCCGGAGGAGAAGGGACTAAAGTCCCGAAGGATGAGGTGGAGCTGCTGATCGTGCAGGCCTGGCGCACGGAAACGGAAGGAGAGTTGTTGGGCATAGTATTTGGCAAGGTGGAGGAGGGAAATCTCACCCTCATCACGAGCGAGCCAGGGGAACCATGCGATCGGCCCAGGCGAAGTGAAGAAGAAGAAGAGGCCGAAGTGCAGAGGCAACGAGAAATGGCGGAACGCAAGCGGCCAATCGAGGAAGGGCCCCCGCCGGAGCTGTTGTTGGGAGACCCGTCGCTCAATCCGGAGTCGCCGCGCGAGGAACCCGAAGACGATGGAGCTGTCAACAAGGGATCGGGAGTGAATCGCAGGCTCCATCCCTTTCCCTACCCCCCCTACCCTTCGCCTTCGTAGAGATGCGGGTGATCGGGCTTCGTCCCCGGTCATTATCCCCCCGTCCCCATGATTACATGATGGTCCGCCAACTCCCAAGTCGACCCCCTTTCCCCGTTGGATGGTGTCATTTCCTGCCCACCCTCTTCCATCAAGTCTATCCACGTGTCTCCTAATCACCATCGTCCCGCACTCCACCACTCGCTCCCTCGCCGATTCCTTCCTTCTCCACGTCCTTCTCTTCAGCGCGAACTGGCAGGAATACAATAACATAGAAGTTTATAGTAACTTCAAAACTCCCTAGAAAAGCTATTGTAGATTCGTGATACCATTGTTGAATGAAAATTAGCATGCTGAGTAAAAGTCCTATGAATGATATTTTTACAAGCATACTTTTGTTTTCTTTTTGTGATACCAGATCTAAAATTAAGGGTACGATCCCAACCTGCGAAAACTACGGAAATTTTCACGCTGCCCTCCGCCGCACCATCTCCACCTTCTATCCTGAACACCTCGCCTCGCTTCCTCATCAACACGAGTACCCTTGTTTCCCCCGCATCCACCGTTCCATCCACTACACCCCCCTCCCCGCCCTCGGAACTAAGGAGATCCATCGCTTCATGCCCCGTCTTCCCCAAGATCTTTCACCACCTCCTTCGTCCGTGATTAGATTGCCCTTCCCGAGAAACTTGTAGGACAGATCCTAGGAATGCCACGTTGGATGACTTCCACACTCTTATCCTATGGTAAGTGGCACAAAGAGAGTTCCACGTCGTCAATCAATTAGAGAAGTCGACACGTGTCGATGAATCGAGCAAGCTGGAGCTTGCTCAAGATTGGAACCCCCTGGGCGTCACATATGTGACGAACTATCTTCTGCAATCGCGCGACTTCCTGCGTAAGGCCGATGTGGAAAAACGGGAGGACTTTGATGGGTGACGGGTGTAAGAGGGGTTCGGTTGGGCAAATTGCATGGATACCCTCGCTTCTTTTTCGTTTTTTTTGGAATTCGTTGGGCCAGCGCCGAGAAGTCCCGCGCTGACGATTGGATGGTTGCGCCATGAAAGGTGCAAGAAATAACTGTACCACAGCTTCTTTCATGTTCTATTGTGAGCATTAGGAATTTTTGCGCGATTAGCGCGCGGGAATTTTTCATTTTTGAATTTTTAACTGATGTCGAGCCCCCACGAGCTCTTGAAATTGCTCTTCCTCTGGAATTTCCTTTCTGCAATTAGGACTTAGGCTAGAAATTTAGGTGCTCTGAATTTTGTTGTGCAGCGTTCGCACACATCTTGAGGCACAAGGAACTGGGTTCTGACTGGATCGCGCTTTTAATCTTGTGCAACTGCCGTTTTTGGCAGGCGCGATCGTAATTGTAATCCTTATTCTTTCTTGGTTCTTCTATGCCGCCCGCCTTCTTCTTCTTTCTCGTATCGCATGCTCTGTTCTAATTGGCCGAGGCGCCTGCATGACCAGATCGATGCGTGGAGAGTGGCTACGACCCCCACACCGTGGCCTGGCCATGCAAACGTAGGCACTTCCTCTTTTCTCTTCTTGTCCATTTGGGAAAAATCTCGTACCTTTCGCGCAGGCGTGCATGCTATAAATTTCTTAAGTGTGATTAGTTTGCTCTCTAAGAATTTCGAGGTTAGCGCGATCAGTGACGGTCGGCTAACGAGCAAGTTGGAAGGTGAGTAATTGTGAGATTTTGGCGATCCGACGAGCTGGTGTCGGGTATGCGGGGTTGACGTGCGGGGCCGCGACGGACTGTGGCGCACGGGCAAATATGGCTTGCATGCTTGAACCAAGAAGGGTGACAACTCTGTGTGGATACGAGGCGACGGACCGCCGGTATCGTGGGTATTAATGCGCGGCGACGGAGTGCCCGCAGCAAGAGCGAGAGAGAAAGAGACAGAGAGCAGTGGTGTGGGTGTGGGATAAGGCTTCCTTTTGTTGCTCTTTTTATTCTTTTTTTTTTCTGTCTATTTGTATAATTTTTGAGTTCTGATGTGGCCGATCTCCATATCGAGGCCCTTCTCTTTCGAACTTCTCTTGTATATTGTATTGGATTTTCCCGGTTGTTTTGCTCGGTATGTATGCATGGAATGAATGTAGGATCTCTTTTGTTAGCGATCTTTTCGATCTGTTTTCACGATGCGTGTTGTCTTTGACCAATGTTCGCCTGCATGAGCTATGCGATCAGGCCTGATGGGAAATGCTCACTTTGGATGTCTGAAGTCTAAGTGTCGATCTTTGCATCACATATATGGCATGTAGTGATTGGTAGGATAATTGCATTTACAGTTGAATGCGACCGGCACACGGAACCAATCGGTTGTTCCTTACATACACGCGTGTGTACGACCACGATCTCGAGAAAGCTGAGTCGCCACATACACACTCGCCTGCGTAAGTCATCCTTACCCTCATGTAAGGATGTGGGGGATGCGACTTCCTAAACAGACATGGCTACCAAATCTCCTTCCTGGGCATTCGATTACGAAACTCTGAGGGATCCGGAATATCGTGAGTATTGGGAAGGCGAACAACTAAGAGGGCAGGGAATTTTAAGAAATCCGGAATTCCCTTGCCTAACAGAAAACGATCGCTTATGTGCAAGGCATTTTCACTGTGCCATAACTAGCGCCCCCCGGTGTTCCGAATACCCGGAAATGTATAACACATACTATTTCATATCCCCCGGCTTCGTCGTAATTACTACCAGCTTCCCTCCCTTCCATATCCTCGTCCCGTATCACCAACTCACAGTAGTACCTTTAAATTTCATAGCTCGCTACTGGCCAAACCCGCCGTGCGAGGGTTGTCGATATCACCGGGCGCGCCGGGCTTCAGGAACTACCCGACAGGCCCGAACTGAAGCTGAGCGGCATTTGCACAGCCTCCGCGTACGGCCTGCCTCAGCGAACCTGAGGCCTGTTACGGGCAGCGCCGACAACTGGCCGAATCGCGCGACCAACCCCGAAGATGAAATCAACGGCGATGGTGACTTCTTTTTCCTTTTGGCCTTAAACTTTGAGCCGGTTGGCAGGGGCAATGTTGTTGGGATTTTTGTTCGAGAAGGCAAGAGGTTTAAATCCGTCGGTACAGCGATAGTACGAAAGTGCCCCGGATTTAAGCCTCGGATGCACCGCGTATGCCATCTGCCTTATGCTGCACGACATCGACAACCTCCCTCTTGAGTATGCCCTTTTTGCACCTGTACCCCTGGAACTTGCCACAGTAGATCTCAGTTCCGACCTGGGACTCTACCCCCACTTTCCTAAAGTCCTTGGCACACCCTTTTTTTGCACTTCCGGGCCCCCCATCCCACTTCGATCAGAAAGTCGCGCTGGGCATGAGGTTGGGCGTCACAATACGTCCCAAGGCCTGATTAGTATCCCACTCGCAAATATGCTCGTTCCCAGTTAAGTAGGGAAATTTTGAAGGTTCCGCCCTTGATTGTGCAGACAAACAAAAGTGTTCCCAATACTCCCGGAATTCACGATCCCTCAGACACTTGCGATCGGCCTTCCTCAGTCGGGCTTACACATGCGTGCACAAGACTTGTCCTTCGGTTGGGCGAATGAAGGCCAACAGCTCGTAAGGTGGGTAATCCTGTAGGGAGACAGACATCTAATCATCTAGCATACTCATCTAATTCGTACTTAAATGGAAACACACCAAACATCTATGCATCCAGCTTCAAACACGCACACTCATAAACAAAAAGAAGTCAATAATCAATTTTTTGGCTATTGGTCCGGGGATCACACAAAATTCGGTCATAGGTGACCAACCAATCGGATTGTCGATTCAAACAGAAAAAGAAGGGAAGTTGCAGGAGACAATCACACATTAGTCTCTGAGAAGGATCCGAGATGCGGGTCCAAAACGACAAGGGCGACTTGCGCCAAATACCAAAATTATTCAAAGGAAAAGAAGTAGAACACCATCACAACACATCCTCTGTCTCTCTCTCTCTCTCTCTCTCTCTCTCTCTCTCTCTCTCTCTCTCTCTCTCTCTCTCTCTCTCTCTCTTCACAGCATCCCGATGCGGGCAGTCTGTCGCCTCGCACCCACACAGAGTTGTCACCCCGCGTAGTCCGAGCATGCAAGCCAGGTTTGCCCATGTGCCACCTGTCTCTTATACACATCTAGATGTGTATAAGAGACAGCTCTCTCTCTCTCTCTCTCTCTCTCTCTCTCTCTCTCTCTCTTCACAGCATCCCGATGCGGGCAGTCTGTCGCCTCGCACCCACACAGAGTTGTCACCCCGCGTAGTCCGAGCATGCAAGCCAGGTTTGCTCGTGCGCCACAGTCTGTCGCGGCCCCACGTCAACCCCGCATGCCCAGCACCAACTCGTCGGATCGCCCAACTCTCTTCTCACCTTCCAATTCTTGTGCGTTAGCCGATCCAGGCGATCCTCTTGACCGCGCTAACCTCAAAATTCATAGAGAGCGAGTTAATCGCGCTTGTGAAATTTATAGCATGCATGTTTGCGCGAGATACTCAGGATTGTGCCTGAGTGGGAAGAAAGGAGGAGGAAGGGAGTGCCTACGACTGCATGGCCAGGTCGCGGCGTGGGGGACGTAGCCACATTCAACACATTGATCCGGCCATGCAAGCGTTCAAGCCAATAGAATAGGGGGAGAAGTATGCGCGCACAGGGGCGCCACAAAAGATCTCAAGAACGAGAGGATTGCAGTTGCAATCACGCCCGCCAAAACAAAAATTACAGTTACACGCAAGATTAAGGCGCAGAAAAATCAGAGCATAAATCGTGACGCGGCAAGGCCTGCGCAAGCAAGAAGTGTCGTGCAGCAAAATTGTGAGATACCTGAATTCCTGGTCTAAATCCTAATTACAAAAAGCAATTCTGAGAGAAATCAATTTCGAGAGCCCGCGGGGGCTCATCAATGTCATCATCAATTGAAAATTCAAAAAAGATTTTCTCGTGCGACGATCGCCCCAAATATCTTATTTCCCACAGCTGAACAAGAAAGAAGTTATAGCAACAGTTATCCTTCACGCTCGCTAAGGCAGATCATTTACCAACCGTCATAGGACCATCTCGGCCTTGATTCCGGAAAAACAAAAAAGGCAAGGGCACCCATGCAATCCAATGGGTCATCCCTATTCATCCCCCGAAGTAGCCTTGCGCAGAAAGTCACGCGGTCGCAGAAAACAGTTTGTCACACCGAGTTCAACCTGTCAGATTGAATTCGGGAGTTGTCAAAATGTGGCTCCCGACTGCACTCCTGAACTCACGGCCTTTTAAGTTGCCTTTTCAAGAGACCTCCTTCGCTCCGCCGAGTTTCATCCTAAATTCGGGAGTGGAGCTAGAAAGGACAAACGACTTCTGCCAGACTGCTTCA